GAATTGCTATACATGTTTTTACAGTTCAGTTGCAATAGTATTCATATTCACAAATATCCAAGGAGTGCTGAAAATCTATCAAATGTCTAAAAGGTAGGCTAGTTGAATTGCTATACATGTTTTTACAGTTCAGTTGCAATAGTATTCATAATCACAAATATCCAAGGAGTGCTGAAAATCTATCAAATGTCTAAAAGGTAGGCTAGTTGAATTGCTATACATGTTTTTACAGTTCAGTTGCAATAGTATTCATAATCACAAATATCCAAGGAGTGCTGAAAATCTATCAAATGTCTAAAAGGTAGGCTAGTTGAATTTGCTATACATGTTTTTACAGTTCAGTTGCAATAGTATTCATGTTCACAAATATCCAAGGAGTGCTGAAAAATCTATCAAATGTCTAAAAGGTAGGCTAGTTGAATTGCTATACATGTTTTTACAGTTCAGTTGCAATAGTATTCATATTCACAAATATCCAAAGAGTGCTGAAAAATCTATCAAATGTCTAAAAGGTAGGCTAGTTGAATTGCTATACATGTTTTTACAGTTCAGTTGCAATAGTATTCATATTCACAAATATCCAAGGAGTGCTGAAAATCTATCAAATGTCTAAAAGGTAGGCTAGTTGAATTGCTATACATGTTTTTACAGTTCAGTTGCAATAGTATTCATATTCACAAATATCCAAGGAGTGCTGAAAATCTATCAAATGTCTAAAAGGTAGGCTAGTTGAATTGCTATACAACAAAAAGTGTCTCTGTATTAAAATGACATTTCTTTGTTCACAATCATTTTTGTTGCTAGATCTTTGTCCTGTGGGTGCTTTGACGTCCAAACCATACGCATTCACAGCCAGACCATGGGAAACTAGAAAGACAGAATCAGTTGATGTGATGGATGCAGTCGGTAGTAATATTGTTGTTAGTACTAGAACTGGAGAAGTCATGAGAATCTTGCCAAGGCTGAATGAGGTAAAATGTTTTGCAGTACGAATAAAGACCTAATTATGGTAATAAACGTAGCTCTGTAAAAGGAAAACATAATCACATAATAAAGTCACAATCTGATGGATATAAATTTCGTAGTCTACCACTAAATATGGACTCTTCTCATTTACATATCAGTAATTTGGAATAAGCACTTGTAATTTGGAATAAATTATGTGATGATGTGAAAAATATCAAAAAACATTGCACAATTTAAATATTATCCCAAAATACTTAATTCAGTAAAAATGTGGTAATCAATACCTTCATTGTAATGTATTATTCGACATTTGTACAAATCACTGAGGTTTCTGCCATTGCATTATAATCAATAAGATAATTTGTGTATAATTAACTTTATTTCAAAACCTACATTAATAAATCTCTGTTGTAGACCTGTCCTAATTCTTTTATCCCTCTGAGTCTTTGTGCAGTTTGTTGAAATAAAAGTAACATGACTTCTTCCTTACAGGATATCAATGAAGAATGGATTTCAGACAAGACTAGGTTTGCATATGATGGTTTGAAACGACAGCGGCTAACATCACCAATGATTAAGTATGATGAGGGTGTGTTAACACCATGCAGTTGGGAAGATGCCTTCATGCGCATATCAAGTGTACTCTCTGATGTCAAAACTAATGAAATAGCGGCTATTGCTGGAGGCATGGTTGATGCAGAGGTAGGTTCTAACACAGTTTGCATTATAATGTACCAAACTCTGAATCATGTTTAGCTCAACAAACAATAGGTGTCATGTCCTGTGTCAGTAAACCATCTGACCATGTATATCATCTCATCAGGGTTTAAATCATTTCTACTGACACCAGTACTTCTAAATTGTAAACCAGAATGTTTTCTTACTTAATTGGGTTGGTCTCCCTCAGACTCATTTGATGAGGATTATCTTGTATTTTATATTTTGAAATTGTTTAATATTATTAAGACTGTTGAGTGACCCGTCTCTGGTCTTACCTCACCATCTACCTGAGTGTATCCTAACCCTGTAAGCTCTGTCTTGTTTATAAACGATCTTTCTTTTTCTGCAGCCTTGCCAAATGTGTGTCATGTTAGGCTCAGAAATGTCCACATAATTTCAGTATTTATGTGTGTTCTTATATTTCAGGCTTTAATGTCATTGAAAGATTTGCTCAACAAGATGGGAAGTGAATCACTGTGTACAGAAGAGATATTCCCAATGGATGGTGCTGGGTAGGTTGTCACTGTATATCAGCCATGTACTTACAAATAACACATCTCTACCTCAACACCAAAATACATATGTCGTTAATTTTATACACCAGTCGGATCTGTTCATTTTAATTAGTCCCCGTTATGTTATGACTTATGTTTTGCCCTGTGTGCGTCCGTGCGTCTGTGCATCCGTGCGTCCGTGATCACCTGTATCTCGAACATGCATGGACCGATTAAGTTCAAACTTCACTCATACATCACACATTAAATGGGACATATGCACATGCATTTTTTTCATGATCCGATTAACGATAGCCGAATAGCGGCCATTTTAAGGCCGAAAATGCATCAAAATCGCACATTTTCACCATTCCGGACCCGGATCTCAGTTATGCATGGACAGATTTTGTTCAAATTTGGTACATACATTAAACATAATAGGACCTTGATGCACGTCATTTTTTTGGGGGGATCGGGCTTGAAATGGCCGACTGGCGGCCATTTTGTTTTAAAGAATTCAGTTCTGGATCCGTATCTGAGACATGCCTGGATTGATCGAGTTCAAACTTCACACACACAAGGTACATCATGTCACAAATATGTATGTGCATTTGTTTCATGATCTCATTAACGATAGCCAAATGGCGGCCGCTTTAAAGCCGAAAATGCATTGAAATTGCACA